TGAAAATTGAACACTTTTCAAGTCATATCTTGATTGTGGACATTCTCCAAAATACCCCCATTTACAAATCAATTTTCAAATTCCAATTAAAACTACAGGCAACGCCGCTTCAGTTTTCACGCACAAATAACGTTGAAGACGAAAGATGAGGACACCTGACCTGCCTTAACATGGTTAATTTCGTGAACTCAACAGCCCAATTCACATTCGTCCCTTCTCTATAGCTGTATATAATTGCGGAATTTATTAGGGATCTAAGTAGGAAGGTACCCTTCTTTCCCTTTCCTCTTTTACTTCATTTTAATTTGTGTTCGCGCAGTTATATGTATATACATAGGGATTTTATTATGTTTACGTTATCTAATATTAATTTGTTTCAATGGTTGAAAATCCCACCTTATGTGATTCTGAACGAGTAGAAAATACTGAAGCTTTAAGAGAAAAGATTAACTTTGAATTAACTGAAATGATTTGATTTTTTTTTCCTAGGGTGGGTATCCCATTTCTTTTGTTTCTGTTCATATTTTTCTGAAAATTTTAGGATGTGTTGTGTGAAAGTTTTTAATTTCATTTACAGGTAACATGCATTCGAAGAATTTATTTTTCTGTAGTTAGTTTTGTATAACATTAATATTTATCTGCAGTGGTAATTCTTAATGTAGGTTTGAAGTTTTCAATAGGTATACAAAAATTAAAAGCTTATTATTTCCGCAAAGTGTAAAAGCTCAAATGAAGGAAGGTATAAATTTCTTAGACTGCCTTGATGTTGACTTGGGCTTGAGTATCTTGACGCGCTTGGATAATCCTGCTGATCTGATCCGTGCTAGTGCTGTCTCACGGTCTTGGCACCATTTTGGTGAGCTGCAAAAGTTGAATAAGTTTAGCTTGTTATTGATGATTGTTGTTATTATTTATGATGCATTGCCTTAGTATATATTATTGACATGAATCACATGATCCTTCTTGTTTGCAATTATTTTGATTAGCCATGGAAGTTGGGATTTTTCTGCTGTATTGGTACACACACTGACACTTGAATTTCACTCGTATCACATTGTTCTTTATGTAATGTTTTGTTTGTTTATTAGAATTTTTTTGTTGCACTCAGATTCTTTTCAAATGCCCATCATAATTGTCACATTGCTCTATGCGCTTGATTCAGTATGCTTGGGCACGTGTTCTCTCTTTGATCTGCCTAAACTTGTAATAAAAGAAGGGGGTGGGGTCTTGGGACTACACAATAGTAAATGAAACCCAAATCCCTCTAGCTGTTTTATACTGTCATCATCCAGCGATTACCTCTGACCAAGGTCCAATGACCAATCAGTTTATATTTCCTACTGTGGGCCTCGCGGGAAAAAAATGTTCCCATCCAAACACCATTTCAAAGAAATCCCATCAACAGTATCAGACAGCCTGATCAATCCAGTCCTAACCGGCTCAGACAGCAATCTTTGCTCACTGCAGCAAGACCGTTTGGGTTGCAAGCTCAGACCTACAACCGGACCAGACTAGGATGAAGTGGATCGAAATGCGACTGGGAGAATTAGGTTTTCGAAACAGCATTCCTCAGTCAGTGGTGCTGAGTCAGTTAATATTCTTTTGGCAGAGTTGTGGGACTGTAGATGGATAGAGAAATGATTAGATTCTCAGAAGACATAATTAGCAAAGGCAGAGTAGGGGCGGGGCACACTTTATGTATCTTTGGTGAGCACGTTCCTTTGCAGATCTGAGAAATTCACTATGATTTTCATGTCTCTCTAGAATATGATGGTTTGCATCATTACTACTGATCCTTTACTATGGAGAGGTGGTTGGAATGGGCGTAATGCTCTTTAAATCAAATTCGTTTGACAATGACGAGAAACTTAGGTTGGTTTTGGCAAAGCTGGCAACGATAATTACAATGATAATATGCAACATTGAAAGGGCAGGGCAGTGTCCAGGGTGGGGCATTTTCCCTTGTTTCTTGGGTCAATCCTTTTCTTTGTCTCGCCCACAAGCCCCGCTTACGAATGCCCACCTGACCTCATTCGTGCGGGTCTTTAGTGTTTTTGTCATCCCTACCTTGTGCTTTCAATGGACGGAACATATAATTTCTGTCTGAGCTAACCTCCCCCTATGTATCCATGATCATTCATTTTTGACATAATTGACTACAACATACCATCGCTATCTTCTACAACTGTTTGTAATCAATTATAAAAAATGATGATGCCCTTGTATATGTTAATGTGGTTATCTTTATAATCATTTTTCCGTGTCTTAATCCTAGTTCTTTAACATAAGGTTTGGTGCCTATTTCCATTTCATTTCATGAAAGAGAAAAATTGAATAGTGTCTGAGCAAATGATAATGTCAATTCTATTGCAGTGATTGCAAACAGACTTTCTAAACAGCTGTGTCTGAGAATGTTCCCTCATATTTCCGATCTTGATCAAATAGTTGGATCAAATAATGGAACAATATCAGTGGATGTAGAATCTAGCAATCCCATGGGATGGAAGATTCTTCAGAGGGATCATAATGTTTATGCTTCTCTAGTTCTGGCCCTCGTAAAGTCTAAAGATAATCCAAAGGATTGCATAGCGTGTGTAATTGGTGCTTCCAGCACAGATCGTGAACCAGAAGAAAGCATAGTTAATACACTTTTTCCAATCGACACATATATGTGGGGAGATTCATACTGGTCAAGTAAAGGACAGAGTAACCCTGATGTGCCTGAGACATTAATATACAAATTAACTGCCGATGTTTGTGTTGTTACTGAAATTGATATACGACCTTTCGAAGGTGATTTCTCAGCTTTCTTAAATTTTAATCTCTTCCTTCTTTATTGATTTTTCTTTTTATCATTTTTTTTTTATGTTCATGTCATGTTTAGAAACTATTAGGTGCTCGTCATTACCTGTCTTTTGCATTACCCTACAGTGTATTGGGAGCCTGGAAGTCTTGTGTACTCGGCAAAGGCTGTGCGATTTCGAATGGGTCATCTCAAATCGCCAAGGAAGAATGGGATTGATTTCTGGCATTTACCATTGCAACCACCTGCCGAAGACGAGTTTCTATGGTCATACACTTCACCAGAGTTCCCTATGACACAGGTGACCTTTTGAAGTAGATATATGCGAATTTTAGGTAATTTTGGTCGTGTTATATTTTCTTTTTTCTTTTCACTCTCATTGGGTCTGCATATTAGTTTCTGTCCGGGTGACAATCAACTTAAAACTGTCACATCTTATGACACAAGTCCTTATAAACAACTCGTTGAGGGCATTGAGCCAAATTGAGCGGTGGAAAAGGATTCATGTGGCTATTTTCAAATTTATTGGGAATTAGACTTTAGCTATTGTTGTTTGGGCTGACTTCCCCAGGGAAAATGATGTTGGAGGTTTAACCATTGGCATGTTATATTGTTACTCAAAGGAATTGCTAAGAACTTTGATAATCCGCAGTTGGCCAGAACCTTGTGATTTTCTAATATAAGTCCAAGTATTTGTTTTGACATTCTTGTATGGATGAAGATTACTTCCGTCACAGATTTTATTGTTTATGCTTAACTTAATAATCCTACTTAACATGTAGCTTGTGTTTGAATCTAATTTTGAGGAGAATAAAAATTTTGGAATAGTGATTGATGTGAGAATGTGTGGTGGAAAAATGATGAAAAGTTTTTGATTTGTGTGTAATATTATTTTATTTGGCGAATGTGTGGTTGAAATGAAGAATGAGAATGAGAATGAAAAATTAACGGGTGTCAAACGGGGGCGTAAATTGATTTCTTCATGGTGACCATTTCCTTAACTTCGGATGCAATAAGAGAAAGAAGCTATAATTTATTGCTTATTCTACATGACTCATGCTCGAATAACTCTCTCTCTGCAAACAGGAAAAACACTTGCAGAAATTCAAGTTACCAGAACCTGTTCTTTGCATTGGTGGATGTTTGCAGATCGAACTGTTGGGGAGCGCTCAGAGAGAAGCTATCGATGGATTATTCTATATATGGTGAGTCCCCACCATCTAGTCCATTTTTTTTTTCTCTTTTATCAGAATTGGGATTTATTAATTGTTAAGATTTTGTTCATAAGAAACCGGCTGATTATTCTTCTTCTTTTCGAGATCATGATAAAGCAGTAGTTATAGAGATAAATGTTTGGTGAATTTGCACAGGGAGAGGGGGGGTGGGAATGCCTGAGTTGCAAAATCTGTTTGTAATTGGTCTTCAAAGAATATGGATAAGTGCTCATGTTCGTGGACATGTTACAAGTATACACTATATAATGAAAATTGGAGGCTACCATTGGATCTAATTGCTATATCATTTGCATGCTGCAGCGTGTGTCATGTTCGGGTTCTGGGACGTCCCCTGAGTCCTGGATTCGAACTACAGGCCCTCAAAAAATCTGGACAGTTGCAACTGAAATATAATCCCGAGGCTTTCAGTTCCATTCTGAAAAGGTTTTCTCATGAAGAGGAGACGGATGCAGTTGAACCAGAAGAAGACACACTGGGGGAGCACGTCCGTCAACTGGAGAATTTGTTGCAGATACGGAATATCCCTGATCATCCATTTGTATGGAATGATGAGTATAATTAACTGGATGAATATCTCATTCTGCAATAGAGTTACATCTGTATTGACTGGATAAATACCCGTCTAACTTGACAAAATATCGATGCTCTTCCATGATATTTACAGCCGGGGTTAATCTACTAACGCATTTCACTCGGTACTCGCTGATGTGCTTGGTAGCAATTTGGGTTGAGAAATCTTCTTTACATTATACGTAACCAGAAATTGTGAATAAGCATTGCTTGTGCTTGAGATTTGAGCGCTTCTCACTCGAAAAAAAGCTGGGAATCATTTAATTTTTTTTACAGGAAATAAATCGAAATGAGCTAGGAATGAGCTCAAATTCGAGACACAGCTGCATATGGTCCAAAAACCTGGACTAGACGCGAAGTACTGAAACGAAAAGGCACCTATGTGGACATTAATTATGCAAATATTCGGATGAGATGCAGATTTACTCGTCTTTGCATGTCAATAAATAAACAGCAGCCTGGTCATTGGTTTAAGTTTAACACGAGACCTAATATGGGATACTGTACGTATTATTATAACCTAGCAAACAAAATGACAAATGGGGTATTCTTTGAAATCATACACCTTGCAGTATAAATAGTTATTGTTCCAGCGACGCTAAGGCTTGAAGAGCCCTCGTTCATGGTGCCTTTGCCTTCTGTCGTGATGGAAGCAACTGCCAAACGCAAATAAAGCATTTTCATTAGCAGACCTTGGACAACCATAAATTTAACAAGGTAGATATTGAAACAATCCCATACAATATGCAATCCCAATAACACAATGCCTCAACTCTTCTACATTAAAATAGACTAACTGTTTGATAAGTAACAACTAGTTCTCAATGCCCCAGGCTAATCCTTGGTCATATGCGTTCTTTAATCTTGGTGAACAATGACTTAAATCAGCACGTGTAGTTTTCCCAATCCTTCAAGACCCATAAAAGAACTTTCTATGTCCATATTCAAAGCTTTTGCGCAAGAAAATGATGTTCTCTTAGTGATTGTTGACATGTAAGTATTAATGCTGCAATGTGATAAATGTAAAGCGGGAAAAAACTACGAGTCATTCGGCAAAGAAGGACATACCTGGTAGCAAGAGATGACAGAGCTAGCAACTCCGAAAGCACCTGTTACACGCGGACTGACTTTCTTGGGTGCCAGTTGAAGCAAGCCAACTGCAACCACTATATCTATGGCGGATTTAACCAGGGCTAAAGATCTCTCGTTTGATTTTTGCAGCTTACTGCGATATTGCTCATTCTGTAATAAAGAATCGACCAAAAGAAGAGGTAGATGCACAAAAGGGAATGTCTCATCAACAAGAAATTAAGGTTAAAAATGGTCAAATTAGTTTAGCAGGTGTCAAAACAAGCAAACCTTATATTTATTAGTATTCTTAAGTTCCTTCTCTAACTTCTTCATTGATGCTGAGAGCCTTCCAATTTCCCCAATCTGAAGTGAAAAATAAGAAATCACAGATAACCTATCCCTTGTTTTATGAATTGATTAACATCAAAATCACGTTAAAGCAAAAAACTGGAGGACCAGGACTGGCAACCTACCTCAACCAGGGTGGTACAGATTGAAGAACCCATCCAACAGAAAAGAGATATCCTTCCAATTAGTTCGGTACGTTCTTTGTTCTGCATAAGAAAAATATAAAGACACGTCCCTTATTCATCTATTATAAAATTCAATTTCCCAACTGTCAGACCCAAGTAGAGAAGTCCCAGCTATACCTTATATATGCCTGTCCTGCCAAGCCACACAATTTGATCCAGAAACAAGAAAGTGGACAGCAGAGCATTTTTAGACTGGAAAAATACCAATAATGGATGTTAGATGTAACAACATATTAGGTCAAAACCATGCTTCAGGACTTGATACCTTTCCCAACAAAACCAGTGGAAGTGGAGTTCCAGGAGCAGTTGGACTAATAAGCGCATGAAGATCATTGACAAACTGTAACATTAAGGAATAGTAAAGCTCGGTCAAGAACATAAAAGAGGGCACAAATACACGTGAAAACAGCCTTTTGGAGTAAAAGGAAAAAGATAAATGGCCTGAAAACTATATAAGTATGCTTTGTTCTCAAAAATCACAATAAGTGTTAAAATATGCAATACCTTGAACAAACGGAAAACCTTACGAGCCAAACTAGTTGATTTGTCAACATTTTGGGCTGTGCCAGGCTCTCCATTACTCAAGAATTTTGAACCATACTGAATTGTCCTGCATATCTTGTCCCTGGCTTCAGCTTTGTTCAAATACAAAACCACAAGAGCAAGCTCTGTTCTGGCGACATCCAGTGAACTCATATTTTATCTTAGTTAACCTGAAAAGTCAAGATATCAACTGATTCAATTCATGCAAGCAAATACTATGCCCAGGACCCAGGCACACAAGGCGTGTTACATCAAGTGCATGATATGCGTGAATAATGTTTTATCATTGTTATCAGATGCCAAATCCTAAATAATGGTAGTCAGGATAATGTAATGCCCTCTTAATTAAGTTCCTTTTCACACTTTACGGTTACNTTTGCAGTTGCTCTTTTTTTTTTTTTTTTTTTTTTTTTTTTTTGTTTTTTTTTTTTTATGTTTTTTTTTTTTGTTTTTGACACTTTTTTTTTTTTTTTTGTGGGGTTTGAGGAGCCTTATGATCTAGTAGTCAAGTTATCGATCTACCATAGGAAGAGTAGTCACAGACCAAAAGTGTGAAGAAAAACAAGAGAAATCAAAATCTAAACAGTCATCAACTTACAAAGAGCAAGATTACATTGATTACTTGCAGTGTTCATAGCATGTCGAACTCTCTATATCTAAGAAGGTTACACATGTAGCCCAATAGTTTATAGTAGGCTATGCAGTGCCATCTACTCAACATTCAGATTCAATCACAAAAAATGGTTTTTTCATCTTTTGGCCTCTCATCGAACTACGAAGGCGCATCAGTTGATTAACCAATTGGAGTTCAAAGACTACATGTCGTATTTACATAAGAAGAAGTCTGATATACATAATCTTATGTGCTAATATAATAATTTCATAATTAATCCCTTCCAATTAACAATTATTCAGCCAATCAATTCTATAATATTTGAACCAGCTATTAAAAGCACAAATAGCACTACAAAATACAAAATAATGTTTACACAAGCTACGACAATAATTTTCCATAATCTAATTGACATCTGACTATAATCCATCACCTATCCCGACTCTGTGGATGCATAACTGTTTCTTTCCGCCCATTTTTTCTTTACAATAATTACGCGAAGGTCGCGAGAGATTCCAACAAGCAAGCCAAGCACAAAACAACAAAGAATAATCACGTTCAACTAAAAGACCTCATCTTTTTCCCATTCTAAACATAAAAACGAAGAAACCAAGAATAGTAATCAAGGATAAGAATGACTAGAAAAGCCATAATTGAACACACCTGAACTGGAAGATAAAGATCAGTAATAATCCAAACAGATTACGGATTTACACACACATATACAAGCGAATGAATACGTACAAACAAGAGAGTAAGTTGTTACCGGGGATTGTGCCGAGCCTTTTGTCTCGAAATTCACAATTTCTCTCCCTCTAACTCTCCAGTTCGATGATTAGATTGAGGCTTGACTGATAAAGCCGTCTTTGGTCCTCTCTTTTCTAATTTCTATTTTTTTTCTTTTTTGTTTTCCTTAGGCAGAAATATAAAATAATAGTGAATTGGGGATATTCGGTTGGAATAATTGAAATATTAAATTTCCGAATGGATAATTATTTGGAGCCTCTTTCAAAGTTTTCATAGCTTCCCCAAAATTAGAAAAATAAATCATTTAAAGTTCATAGGCATATTGATGTAGAACATATAACTGAATGGATTAAAGAAAGAACTAAGTAAAAAGGAAAAAAAAGGCAATAGTGCAGATATGACAGTCAGAACTCCGATTTGAGTCCATAATGTCATTTCGAAAAGAGAATGACAAGACGAGTAGAACTTATTGCTTCGCCTTGAAATACGATGAATTTTGACGGTCCAAATTCGTTTAGGACTAGAAAACTACATTTAAATTTTTAGTGCTATTTTTTGTCATTTAATTTATTTTGAATTCTTTTGAATTTTAGTTTGTTTAAAGTAGGTTTTCTCTTTATAAATAAATGATTAATTCATCGTTTTTCATCATCTTACATTAATAAAATTTTATAAGTTTATTTCTTCAAAATTTGGTGGATTCCGAAAATTGTGATACTAAAGTTTTCGATTGAATTCTTTGTTTCGCGTTGCGTCACATATTGACCTAAAATAATTTGAGAGATTCCTACTTCATAAATCTTATAGATTAGATCGGAGCTGTTTTTTGTTCAATCGTAGCCCCATTAATCTTCAATCAACGGCTGCAGCTGCAAGTTTGCCTGTACAATTACCTCAAATCATCTTTTGAGTTTGCCGTTAAGCTTCTTTTGGTTCAATTAAAAATTTTAAGTCAAAATTAATAATTAATTTTTACGACAGAACATACATTTTTAATCACGCATTCCACCAACCTTGTTTAACATGGGGCTAAGTATATGCAAGTTAATTAATGGACGAATAACCTGAATGATCCTCTTTAGTTTCCTATTTAAACAAGAAACATGTGCTAAGAAGTATTTCTGTAATAAAAATATAAGTAGTTCACTAACCTTGCCATTGATATTGAAGTTTTCCCCCTGAAATGCTGAATGCTGCTTTCTCAATTGTGCACAGAGAAATTATAAGAAACAATTTAAAAATCATTTACTCCACTTCGACATAGCGAGGCAAGCAAGGCACTGATTTAAGAAGACATCAAATATATTTATGCATTTCCAGAATTACCAAATAAAGGCGCAGGAAAAAAGTTGATAGAACTGAAGTAGTAATTCATTCTACTTCTAGAGTACAAATACTATTTATTTATAAAATGTAAGGCATCCATTGCATAGCTTTCATGTCCACGCTTCTCAGCTTGTAGCATATTATCACTACTTCGATTCATTTAGACAGTGAAACAATTATCAAGAGAGTATTTCCATTAGTTAACATTGAGTTGTCCTACTTCTTGCTGAATAAGCTTTTCAGTTTTCCTCTCTCTAAACGCTCAAGTAGCTTCTTGGCACCAGGAATGTCCATCTCAGTAAGCTTCTTGAGATAACCGATAGCCCCATACGAAATCATCAACTTCTTACACTTTTTGCTCGAGGAAAGCAAGGTTAGGCAGGAAATTGCGTACTTTTTGGCTGTGTTCTGGGGACTTGGATCCAGCAATACTACCAAATTAAGAACACTTTTGTCATCTCTTCTAACTTCTCTATAATTATGGGAAAGGGTCATCAAACTTGAAATTGCTTGTGCTGCAACCTCCCTTGCATTATTAGATTTAGCCTCCAGCATCTTTATGAGAAGAGGAATGCTTCCAGATTCACCCACTAATCGTTTCATTTCAGTCGAGCTGGAGATTAGACAAATCGCCGAGGCTGCTGCTTTTTGTGCACCAAAAGACCCTGATTTAAGCACATGGACCAGCCTTGGAAGAAGGCCTAATGAAACCAAAACATCAACTGATATCACTCCAACCAAGTTTCTCAATGCCCCAACTGCAGATTCTTGAGGCATTGGACCATCTAAATACGCCAGAAGGCTTTTTATTCCGCCTTCTGAAATAACACATCTCCGAAGATTGTCATTACTTGATGTGAGATTTTGCAAGCAATCTGCTGCATATTCTTTAGATCTCAACAGGGCTCCACAATCAAGAAGATTGATCATCACCTTTATAATCCCTTCTTCAGAAAGGGTTTGCCGGGCCTCAGGCACAGCAGATATATTCTTCAAGGTACAAGCTGCAGCAGCTTGCAAAACAGAATCATCAGTTCGACAGATCTCAATCAGAGGCCTAACTCCACCATGGCCAACAATTGAGCGTGCGGTTTCTGCTGACATAGACAATCTCTGGAGAGAAATCGTAGCCTTCTCTCGACTCACTGCATTACCAGATTCGACAAGCCTTATAAGGGGTGGAAGAACACCTTCAGAAACAAGCCAACTCTCACAACTTCCAGATTCTGAAAGCCAACATATAACATTGACAGTTTTTTCTCTGATCCGAGGAGAAGTAGCAGTGAGCAATTGGACTAATGCTGCAATATTGCTTCGTCCTAAAATGGCGGCCAGCACATTCTTCTCATCGTCTTTTATAACTTCTACAAGTGAATCAAGTGCTTTATGCTTAGCCTCGAGGTGTCCAATCTGAAGTCGTGCGAGCAATTCTCTTATATTGCCATGATCTGCAGCAGCATCCTGTTCTGCCAACGGCAAACTAACCTCTCCAAGCACCCCAGTTTTGATCAGAAGCCCACAATCGCGTAAATTCAAATCAAGTTTCCCTGATAGCGAATCCAAATCACTTTGCATTCTAAGTTTTCCCTCAAATTTCTCTTTTACGCAAGACTCTGCCAAATCAATTGCTTCATTCAATGTCCTTGAAACAGCCTGCAATTGCTCCTTACAGAGTGCATTCTTTGAGAAGCAAGGATGGCTAGACAAATCCGATAATCTTGTAGGGATTTGTTCCAATTTCGAAATTATCATCTTCCATCTCCCAGGGAACCCTTTAACCTCCCTGGCTTTTTCCAGAGCCATGGGAACAAGCCTCTGTGCACGAGATAGCCATTCCTCAGCCGACAGATTATGAGCCACCAAATTTTCTTTTCCGTCTTCAATCATGATTCAAGTAAACTAAAAATGAAACTTTAAACTAAAGCTGGAAGTACCTGAAAACAAGAAAACCAAACCTTAACAACAACAACCTATATGAGAGAATTATTGCAGAAAATTCAATTTTTTTCAACATAGATCGATCAGAATATCTTGCAAACACCAGTAATTCAAATTTTGACTAAAACCCACCTAGTGAAAAATGAAAGACTTGGATTTTGCCAGCAAGAAGAGTGAAGAGGTAGGCATCAACAAGTGAACATCAGAAGAACTATGAGATTTCCAAGGCGGTGGCTTGTATTCGCAAATTGGTAAAAGACACTTTTGAATAGAGAAATTAAAATCTGTGGACCAGTTATAAATAAAGAAAAGGGTTAAGATTAGGGGATCAAGAATCTTGCAGGATCACAAAATGCTGTTTTACTGAAAATGATAGCCGAGCCGACAGGTAAAAATTACTAGTACTGGACAAAAACCCCCACGAGACTAATCGAAAGCTTTTTATCAAATGGTCTTCAAATGCAAAGGGCTAAAAAATAATTGCCGACGTAAAAATAAATATTTATGAAAGATGTAGTAAATGACAGCTGAGCTGATGAAAGTGAAAGTAGGAACTTTCCAACGGCCATTACTGCCATCCAATAAAAGCAGGTGGAATTTTTTTTGTTATTTCCCAAATGCCCTTACACCCATTAAGTACAAGTGTACAACAAATTATTTGCATGCTAGGTATGGAAGGCAATATGACAGATTTAAGGGGCAGTATGGTAAACTCGTATAAATCAGGCAGCTTTACTTTTCATAAACTGTGATGTGAATTGCATGCCGATAGAATCCAAATTCTATTCTTGAAATGGGAAAATGACTTTGTCCATCTCCATCTCCATCTCCAACTCCAGTTGTATGTATATACATGGAATTTATTTGGAACAGAAAATATATTTCAAAATTAATTGGAGCAATTAAGAACCCCATAAAAGGAATATTACCTCAAATTGATTCATTTTTTGCCTATGCCAGTCAAAATCTTTAGAAAATCTGCAAGAAAAAATATTATCAGTCAGAGAAATCATTTAAAACATTGATAGTACCTGTTTGAGTTTAAATAAATTATATAATCTTAGAAAATCTATCAGTTTGAAATGGAGAACGAACATGAATGCAAAGAAAAGCTTAAGATTCAACCTTTTAAGAGTCAAGCTACAGTCTTTTTCTCTCCAGAAAGAAGCTGCTTCATATCCCAATGCTCTATCTGAATCTTTAAAGAAACCCAGAAACTCAATCTTAGAATTTCACTATTAATGATAGGTACTCTGAAAAACTTGACCAAGAATTGAAATGCCGTGGATCCTTTTCAATGACAGACAGATCGAGCAAATAAAAAATTGAGAAGAAGGTAGAGTGGTCGGTCAACTTGTGTATGTATGTTAAATTTGAAAATATCAAACTTCAACCCGACAATGCCAACAAAGACAAATCCAAAACAAATTTCAAAATCAAAACTCACTCTCTCTTTCTATATGGATGTTAATATAAGCACATATTTGTGATATATTATTCATATAGAACCGACGGCAGGGATTAAGGTGATTCAACATTGCTAATGACCGTTGGGATTGGTTGAAATTTGAAAGTATTCTCCACTACCGAGGAGGAGTGGGGACGGTTCAGTTGTGAACTCCAAAAATCAATTTCACTCAATTATTACACCTCTCTTTTGTTTAGTTAAAAATCAAAATTTTATAGTAAATTTTGGTAGAAATTAATACAATGTAATTGAAAAGTTAATAAAAATCTAATCCCATGGGAGATAAGATTAAAAATGAATTTTAAAAAATGCAGAAGAAAGAGAGACTGCATATTTGTAAATTATGCATTTTCAAAGGAAATACAAACATGATTGTAAATAACTTTAATTACACATTTGCTTTCAATTCACAATTTTATCATTTTTTTTCTCAATTTTTTTTATCATTTGATTAAAATTTTTTTCTTTTGGGAAGGCTTAGGTGGATAGGCTTCATGTACAACAATCCATGTGTGAAATGTAATGAAAATATTTCTCCGAGCAAATGTTAAATTTAATATCAGAATCCAGATAATAGTAATAATACTGGGTAAACTCAAAAAGAGAAATTGAAATAGCTAATGCAATGTGACTGAAACCTATAATTGAGGTGCTTCATGGGCTGGCCGGGCTTAGACATTATCATTTTGAAGCCAATAGCAAAATTTGTGGTTCAACGATCATAAAATTATAATATTTGATGCATAATATTGTATATTTAGGTTAGGTCCTATTGACTTGAAGTAATGTGAAAAATTCATTCCTAGAGGACTCTGAGTAGTCATACACACCTCACAAAATAATAAGTAGAGCTCAATGTTGAGCATCTTCTTGAGTGAGATACCTAAAAAATTGCAGGGATGACTTGGAATATGGGCAGTTGCAGAATTTTTGAAAAATTAAAAATGAACCTAAGAAGCTATTTCTGAACACGTTGTATAATTTTATGAAAGTGTTTTTTTTTTAATTAGAAGAGTTTTTAGAGGAAATTGCTTAATGTAACTTCGACAAGAAGCTTTTCCACGAGAAGCATAAATCTTGCCAAACGAGGGATATATATGCTCAACACTACTCGCCTAACACAATATGACAAACTTACCTACCCGAGAGTGGTGCCTGCAAATTTAGGTTGTAACTTGTTGCCAAAGACATGCAAACAAAAGTCTCATAATAGCTAAACATATGAATGGTCTTGGGTTTATGAAAGGATAAAACAACTACATCTAATAAGTTAATCTTTTGAGACACAAGTCCTGAAAAAATTGTATCATGGCTATGCTCTAGACTCAGCCATGTGGATGAACAGATGAATTTTTAAATGTGCGTGGAAGATCTGAAGGAACGTTCGAGTTCAAATATGGTGGTAGTGAAGCATCTATGTTAATGCGAGTTTTGGGCGGTGGTGATTAATGATTATGTAAACCTCGATGAAGTTTGTGATCTTCCTAGTTGAAAGGAGACGGACAGAAGATGTAATCGCTTGAAGACTGCTATAATCATATGCGGGAGATGATAATGTAATGCTTCGAGCTGGTTGAATCACTTGTACTATGTAATAAGTTTATAATCAAGTAAACATAATGCATTTCTCCTAGTAATTAACATTGCATACATGATACATAATGCAATAATCAATAATGTTTGTTGTTATCTCTGTTTGCAGTTGAACTTGTATGGACAAACAAACCATTCACAACATGACAACAGGAGACCATACAATCATTAACATTCTAGTATTATGATTATCTCAAGTGTTTGTTTTAAGAAAATGACCCAATATTTGAATATATACATGAAAGAAACATTTTATACAGGTATTGACAACATGGTTAGATAACTTTAAGGCACTCTTATGGGGTTGCTGTTGCTTCAAGGCCTGCTCAACATAACTTCCTTTTACCTCTCACACACACTTGTGGTGTCAAAGTGGGAACGGTCAGGCCAGCCCAGAAAGATGTCCAACCCACCACAAAACTTGGGCTATCATCGGCCTTTCTTTAACGGACCAGTCTCGTCTGGTTGACACCACTACATAGACTGCACCAACAGTGCGTCTGTGCGTGTGAGATATATGAGGAGTGTATATACATTTCACATTCAAGTCCAATTTAGGATTTCAATCAATGTTGATGAAATCTGCATTATTATTCTATGATATGAAATGTCCCATTCCATGGTACTTCATTAATAAGAAGTGAGATTACATTTCAAAACTACCTACTTGATGGATAAGAATGATGCCTAGAAAGCAAATTATAGTATAAACTATGTTGTCAACAGCTAGTCATTTTGTATATTTAACCTGCTGTTGTTTCCTGATTGGAACATAATTTAGAATTGGCCAAAATTCTAACTCCTTTTTATTAGAAAATTATGTACTTCTATGATCAATTGAGCAGAAGTATAATCCCAACAAGATTTGGGTTCGATATTAGAAACTCAATTAATTAAGCCTAATTCGAAAATAGAGTAATGACACAATCAAACCCGAACGGAGGATGATCTACTGCGTAAAGCAAACATTATCGATCTTTTATTGATTGAGCTGAACTTTTTTCCCCTTCATTGTACATGTTTTTAAGAAGTTTAAAGGTACAAGTATGAATTGGCTTTTCACCCTTTGGTTGGAAGCATTTTGCAGTTCTAGCATCATCAGTGCCTAGAATAGGGATTAAACAGAAGGCTCCAATAGAACAGTTTTTGTTTAACCGTGTACTGAGCCGCCAGCAGTTTTCACCAATCACCATGGATGAGAGATTCGCCAAATGTTGGTGGAATGACGACTGAGGAAGAAACCTTAAACCTTTTGCTTCGTGACTCATCGCTTCCATTATCTACACTACTAATCCACCCCATATTTTGATCCCCAAACCCTTGTTCGCCAAAATTATTAACTTCGTTCATTTCTGATCCATCTGAATCCATTCCATGGTACCGGAAACTAGCCCATTCGTTGCTGTAATCTGAGACGGTAGAACTCTCCCATGAAGAGGGCTCATCAGACACATGAGGCACAATGACGCTTGGTTGCACTGCCTTCTCTATTTTCTTTATATCAGCAGGATTTTGATTGTATTGATTATAGCCTCGGAAGTGGAAGATACTAGCAAAAGTGAAGTGGTCGCTTACTCTACTCTTGGTCGCCTTATTCTCCGAGTTCCTGGCCATGATACTCTGCAAATTCTTGCTTAACTTAGCTTTCAAGGAAGAAAAACTTAGTCCATTCTTGGTGTCAGACTCAGATACCGCTCCATTCCCATTTGATTCGGATGAAATGACTTGGTTTGTATTCACTACAGCAAAGTTTGTACGCGCATTTTCTCCACGTAAGGCACGAGCTGCATCATCATAGGCACGGGCAGCTTCTTCAGGTGTATCATAAGTTCCAAGCCACAATCTTACGCATTGAGACGAGTTCTTGATCTCAGCCACCCATCTCCCCGAAGGCCTTTGCCTCACGCCAACAAATCTACGAGTTGCAGCAGATTTTGTTTGCTTTGCCCTCGTGGTGGTCCTCGAGGCTATCGTAGTTTTATTTGTGTCGCATCCAGCCATTAATGCAGTAGTTTTATAGTTTGCTTGTGAACTTTTGATACTAATCCGTCGCTCTATTTATACTATTACTAGGCCATCCAAGCATAAGGCTAAAGTGTAATTTGCGTAAACCCTCCTCAATTATTTGATTTGCCCGTATCCTATACATGCTCAAGGAAATTTTAAACTCCATCAGCTTGGATTTACCTGCAAATGCGTAGCTAGTTAAAACTCCGAATAAAAAATGCAAAAGGTCATCAGTGCATATAAAACAAGGTAAAAACAGTTTAATCTAAGGTTGGCTACCAACTGACATAGCTGAACACGTTATATATTTCCAACCTGAGGTAAAATACATCATTCGGAATTCCATAACCTTATTTCTTTGCTTAATTCCTATTCAGTATTTTTTTTTGTTTTTTGTTTTCATATAAGTTGGTCCCCTTGACTTGGTCTAAAGAGCCGGCATGTCAAAGGTCCTGAGAGGTCAGCGTGGCACCTTAGACCAATACCCATCGATGGAAGTCGAGGTCGAACTATGACAGACGTCATATCTAAATATCATCATGATATAATGAAGTGATCCCCTAAAGGCAGCACCGCATAAACCAACCATTAAGAAGGATGACACCATAACTTAGGACCAAGTCTAAAGCCTAGGTGTCATCATGACCCGTCGTAGCCGAATTCACCAATCAATCAAATTTCCTCAAACGAACAGTGATACGCAACGTTAGGTTGAAAGACTCGGAACACTGGAGCTTGACATGACTAAGGCAACAAGCTAAGTCCATTGCCTATACAAAGGGGATGAAGGGTGAATAAGAGGGAGATCCAAACTAAGATTTTCTTGGTACAATTGCAAAATCGCAGAATTATAACACTTGCATTCAGTTCAAATTTATAGAAGTTGATCAAAACGTGCATTATCAATTTTTGCCATCAACAAATTGTATAAGCTAAAAATTTGTCTCGTATTAAAGGATATAGGATCATAATTCATGAACAGTGTTCAACTAAGTACATACAAAGAATAGGTTATGCATGTTAAGAATTGGGGTTCCATCTTAAAAGGTCAACCTTATTAAGAGGAGTAACACAATCCTTTATAAGTTGATTTATGTTTACATCTTTATTCGATGTGAAATTCTATCCCTTAACTTGCCCCCGCAAGATGGTGGCTCGTTTGAGCAAATCAATCTTGAAATTCGTATGTTCACTTTTGAAATCTTAACCGGATCGAATTGTTCGTTAGAGTTTAATGGGCTCTGATACCATGTTAATAATTGAGGTTCCATCTTAAAAGGTCAACCTTGTTAAGAGGAGTAACCCAATCATTTATAAGTTAGTTTATGTTTACATCTTTATTCGATGTGGAATACTATCTCTTAACAATGCACATGCTATCTACAACAATAAATAGTACTCATAGAGTGTATTTGGTAATTTGTATACTTTAGTCGACAATACAATTAAGAATTAAGAATTTAACATTCATTTCTTCCTTATTATTACTATCTGGAATAATGTTGCTTGGTCAGGGTGAAAGACAGGAAATTTGGTGACAGGGTGGGGTGGCAACAATAGATTGAGTGTTTTTTTTTTTAAATTGTCTCTATTTTTTAACCTGTCATTAAGCCTGTTTGTGTAGCATGGTTGTACTATCTTATACCGTCCAATCTATTAACATTCATTTCTTCCTTATTACTGTTTGATAACATCCAATCCACTTACAAAACGTGCGTACAATTTAGCCCCCGTTTGGCCCCCATTTTTTTGGATTGAAAATTTTTAGAATAGTGATTGATGGGAGAATGTATTATTGAAAAATTTTAGATTTATGTATAATATTATTTTATTTGATGAACGTGTGGTTGAAATGAAGAGAGAAAAAAATTAATGTAATGGAATTTAATTTAATGGGGCTCAAACGGAGGCTTAGTCACATCTCTAAAATGGCCTGACGTATTCCACTAGGGCATAAGGTGGTCTCGTTGCCTATGCCATTCACGAAAAATCATATTTGTGTATAAATTATGAGCAACGGCTTCAACAAATGATACAATCATAAGGACACAGGAAGAGACAAAATAAAGGCACCTTACTTTAATCAATTTTGTGAATCAAAGGTTTTGAAACGTTGGTTTTCAGACCTGAAGTGAAAATATCAGTTTAATATATTGATTGTGTGGTTTGCCAAATGGATTTTTGCTATTGGAGATGGAATGATACGTGTAGGCTCCATACCTAAGTGCCATGTCGTTTCTAGTGTTTGTTTCGCTTTGATTAAAAAATGCAATTATCACTAATTAATCAGTGGTATAAAGGACATCAGTGAGGTTGTTTTAGTTGAGCTGACAATCGCAGTGTGAGAGTTTGATTCTTGGCTCTTACATGGTAAGAAATTTGACTCTTTGTGGGCACCAATATAGCAGCTCTTGTACTCTGATCTGTTGAGGCACATCCCGCAATTTACTTCCTCCACAATGTTCTAGGAGCTGGGCGATGGGGGACCCTCAAGATTGGGGTTCAATCTTTTTTAATTAAGGCTTGGAAAATTCAATTGAAAAGCAGAGTTTTGTCCAGTTTCTCCACCCTTGGCATTGGATTTTGACATGCAGCTTTTGATTCCTTACATTTTCGTCCTCTTACAAGTGGGATTGAGACATTTATTTGTTTCCCAGTGCAATCAGTACACAACAAGTACCTGAACCTTAATTTAGCAGATTGTGGTAAATATGTTCTATTGTAATAACTGATTCATTATTGCAGGAAAAACAAAGCCATTTTCTCAATAAATTTGGAGTCGGGGTCACGATTTCGGTTCACTGCTAGCTCTGCTGAAAGATGCAACTGGTCCCTTGGGGGAAATAACAAGTCTAAGATGTTCATCTCTAAGTCAAAAAGCGTTTGGGTCGTCGTATTTACTTTCTATGAGAGAGAAGGAAACTGAACATGTTGTAAGTGAGCGTCTTTGACTTAATTTTTATACTCTGAATAAAGGAAGTATTTCAACTAAAAGTTGCTTTTACTTTTTCTAACAAAAATTTACTTAAAATATATTTGGTTTGTCCTGATTATACTTCACTGTGCAGCCTGCATTTGTTGATCTCCCTTTGGATTTTAGATAAGGGTAATTAGCACGTAACGTAAGAACCGTGGAGAACATTCTCACATTTCACTTTTTTGGCATTTTCAACTTTATTTCTACCTTTCATTGTGCAAAATATCATTTTCATTCATTTTTTCAATTAAAAATTGTGAAATAACAAATATGTCATTATGTTTAAATAAAACAAAAAGAAAATGAAATAACTAATTGTAATCATAGTCCCAATTTCAAAAAAAAGTAAAAACAAGTCCTAAATAAATTATTAAAAGGATAATGAGCACATAACATCCTTACATTTCACTATTATTATGAAAAATATTTATACATTTCATTTTTTTTTGACATTTTCACCCTTAATTACATATTTGATTATTGTGTAAACTATCATTTTTATTCATTTTCATCAAATTTTTCGATAAAAAATTGTAAAAAGACTAATATACCCTCCTATTTAAATAAAAAAAGCTAAAGAATTAATTACAATTATAGTCCCATTTTTTTTTTTAAAAAAAAAGTGCAGACGAGTCTCAAATAAATTATTAGAAAATTAGAAATTATTTTTTACAAAAGAAGTGAAAGCGAGTACCAATTAAATTTATTAAAAAATTATATATTTTTTTAAAAAAAAATAAAAAGCACAAACGAAACCCGAATAAATTATTAAAAAGAAAATTATATTTTTAATTATATTTTTTTATTTAAATAAGAAGGTATATTCATCATTTCAAAACTCCTTATTGAGAAATTTGATGAAAACTGATAGAAATGATGATTTGTGCAATCAAATATGCAATTAAGGGTGAAATTGCTAAAAAAAATGAAAGATGTGTACGTTTTTCGTAATAATAGTGAAATATATGGACATTATATACCAATTACCCTTTAAATAATTTTTTGGAACTCATTTTCATTTTTTAAAAATGATTGCGACCATGATTGCAATTAGTTTTTTGCTTTTTTTAAAAAAAAAATTATTTAAATAGAAGTGTATATTCGTCATTTCACAATTTTTAATTGAGAAAATGGATGAAAATGATCTCTTGCTCAATGAAAGGTGGAAATAAAGTTGAAAATACCAAATATTGAAAGATAATGATATTTTTCCACAATAATAGTGAAAAGTAAGGACGTTACGTGCTAATTACCCTTTACAGAACAATCCGTACCATAGATTAAGCTAAACTAAATAATATTCAACAAGCAATCAGAAACTTTTTTATTCGGGTAATTAGCATATAACATCTCTATCTTTCATTATTAATGTGGAAAACATCATTACCTTTCATATTTTTGTATTTTCACCTTTAATTACACATTTGATTGTGCAAAATATCATTTTCATC